AAGGAAGGAAGGAAGGAAGGAAGGAAGGAAGGAAGGAAGGAAGGAAGGGTGGGTCACCTACAGTCCACCCCGAAGCATTTCTTTGCTAGCATCCAGAATGTATAAGCAGATCCTCATGCTAAAGTTTGCTGGGAAGAAGCACATTCCCAACTCATTGTATTTCAAGGCTTTGAAATCACAGCCTGCAGAACCCACCAACCCCAGGGTTTCCAGACTTTTTTTCATTGTTTTTGCAATCCTGGGGCAGATTGCAAAAAGAGAGGCATTTCAAGCTGGGCAGGATGCATTTGGCTTGCTCAGTCACACAACTCGTTTCAAAGAAAGACCTCTTCTCAAATTCAGTTTAAGGCTGCCATGCAAGGAGAGCAGAAATAGTGAGAAAAATGTTAACAAACCAAGCCTTTCCTTTTTATAGACTAAGTCGGTGATCAGAGCTATGAGATCATAGTCCAGCTGCAACTAAGGAGACGCAATACACATAAGCAATTGAGCAGCAGGAAGGCTTCAGCTACAGTGTAAGAGTGGCAGCCTGCTCTGGAGGATGCCATGGGGAAATTTTATTTCTGCCTTCAGAAGCTGAGGCCAATCTGTACAAATAGAAGTATAACCTATGTACTAAATAAACAAACTTCCATCCTTCCTTCCTTCCTTCCTTCCTTCCTTCCTTCCTTCCTTCCTTCCTTCCTTCCTTCCTTCCTTCCATCCATCCATCCATCCATCCATCCATCCATCCATCCAAATTAACCAAAACTTCAGAGTTCAGTCAAGGGATATGACTTACAGCATAATGTCACCAGAGGAGGCATGGTATTATTTTAATAAATGTGGAAAAAACTTGATTAAATTACTGGCTACCAAGTTCTTTGCATGAAACCAAAAAACAAGGAGCTCATACAAAAGCATCTTTGCAGGCAAGAAGTTTCTATCTCTTCACCAGATCACCCACAACTTCTTTTCCCCTTTATTCAACTGGCCCCATATAACCAAATAAGGGGAAATGTACATTCCAGGTTCAGTCTAAATGCCAGATACAAATCAACCCGAGATACCGGGCTTGATGACTTTGTTTCATCATGTCACTGAAGTGTAAAAAGTTGTTAAAAGAAACACTGCCCAGCATCCTAAAAGTTTTTAAAAAGGCCAAAGCAGGGTGACCAAGATCAGATGTTCCCAACCAGACACCCCTCCAGACATGTTGGAAATGCCCAACTGTAGAACTCTTAGTTAGGCAAGATGGACCAAGGTCTTTTTTGCATTTAAGGAAGCTGCCAACCGTACAGTAAATAACTGTAGCAGAGTCTGAGTAACAACTTCTTTTACCACTTTCCTTTCAAATAGTTCTGTAAGCAGAGAAGAGAGCAGAATTTTAAAATGGAGGCCAACAGGTACTATCTCACACCATAGGTGCGCTTCAATCGTCTTTATGGAAGTCCTGTTCAACTCCTGAAACTGCCTTAAGTCTCTTCCCAAAGGTAAAATTATCTTGCACAACACCCTTCACCGTCTGGCAGGCTTGGGCATAATATAAACTTTGACTGGTTTGCTGAACAGGAGAGTCCCTTCGATGCTGCCCTCGGATGGGGGGAGAAGCTCCATACTGTCTCCCCAGGTGGGTCGCGAGAGGCCCACGGAGGCTTTGTTTCGATCCGAACTGTATGCCAGTAACAGACGTAGTTCAATTTGGCAAGGCTCTGGGACAGAGAAAAAAAGGCGAGAAGGAAAAGGTCTCAAATCTGCCAGGTTTCAAAGGGCATCTAACATACACAGCAAGGATGCCAGAACTCCAAAATCCACACAGTTCCTTGCACCAGCCAACTTCATATCTGCACAAGCAAGCTACAGGTGTAATTTGCAAGGGTGGCTGCATTCAGAAAGACCAAAAAGCCAGAGAGAGGTTTTGTTTTGACAAGGGTCATGGGATCCTTCAGTCACTCATGCCCTAGTCATGGACAACTGTAATGCGCTCTAAATGGGGCTGCCCTTGAAGACCACTCAGAAGCCACAACTGGTTCAGAATACAGCAGCACGAGCAATGTTAGGCACGCCTTGGTATGCCCATGTGACATCACTGTTGTGCAAACAGCACTGGTTACCAGCTGGTTTCCATGTGCAATTCAAGGTGCTGGTTATCTGTATTTGTCTACCTATAAGGCTCTTCATGGCATTGAGTTTGGTTACTTGAAAAACTGCCTATCTCCAATAATTTCTGCCCATCTGATAGGATCTGGCAGAGTGGGTGTGATTCAGTTACCTCAATTAAACAATATTATCTAAGGGGACCTTGGAAGCACACTTTCTCTATCACGGCACCTGCCCCCAGAGATCCAGATGGCTCCCATCCTAACATGAAACCCTGGTTATTCTTCCAGGCCTGGGAGAGGGATGTTGGTGGACCCCTGTAAATTTTGGGGTCTAAAAAAAAAGGAAAATTAAAAAGGGGGGGCAAAAATGCTTAATTTAACACATCTGAATTCCCAGATCCAAAGTTTTTGTTATTATTTGCTGTGACACAATCTCTCTCTTAAAGTAAGGCTTGTTTCTCAAGGTTGCAAACTATTTTTTTAGTGGAACAAGAAATTATAAACTCACCAGCAAACAAGACATTTATTCTAATAATCGAAATTATCTTAGTTTGGTTTTTATTGGCTTATTTTAACAACCACATGTCTTTAGTCTTGCTGAGTCTCTAATAAAGAACTTGTGGAGTATGAAATATATTAACAACTTTCTCCAGCACTTAACGCCTGAAACTTTCCTGAAGGTTAGCATGTGCAATATATCCTGTTAATTTGGGAATATTCATCTCATTGCTGCGCTGCCTTGGAACCACCTTCCCTTCTTTCTGTCACCAGAGAAATCACATAATTCTTTTGAACCCCGAGAATTACCCAAAGGAAATCTACGTTACATAGAATTTCCACAGCAGAGCAAAAAATGCACTGAAGCCAAGTCTTCCATACCTGTCCAGGCCGTATGTGAAAGGTAAACCTGAGTAATTAACCGGTGCCTTCCCGGACCAGGATTTCTAAAATCTGCCGGTTTCGGATGGATCACCTGCGACTGACCATCAGGATACAGGATCTAGAAAAAAAGAGAGGCCTGAAGGGTGCTTTTTCTCAACCTTGTATTCATCGATGATGCAACTCCTGCTTGTCCCACATCCCACTGACTTTTGTTCAACCAAGAAGACGTCTTTGCTATTGTGACACCCTCTTTATGGAGCACTCTCTCCTTAAAAGAAAGAAAAAAAAAACGTGAAACCTCATTATAATTCAGGAGAAAGGGAGCAAGTACTGCCAGACATTCAGGCCTCAGTTCAGCAGACAGGAAGAGATTTCAGAACAGTGGACGTTAAGCCCCAATCAGCAACATTTTCAGACTTTTTTCTATACCATCCTCCTTCCAGAAAACCTGATGAAAGCCTGCAAGATTCCACATGAAAATGCTGACATTTTCAGATAGTTGGTGCACCTTTCTGCTATATTTAATTTATTCTGGTGGTGAGAGAAGCCGTTGTGGTGGCGTGCCAAGGCCTCCTTTTGCTAAACTCTGCATGCTAGCCTGGAATTGATACCTCCCTGTGGAATCTGCAGCAAGAAGGTGCTCTGTGATCTACAGTATCACATTACCAGAGATGGTCTATGCTTTCTTCTTCCTATTTCCAAATTTACTTGCCTCTGCAAAGGCTAATTTGTCACTCTGCCAACAGAGTAAAATATGCATCCTGTTTACACTTTTAGATAAGGTATTTATTTATCACATTTATATGCCGCCGCAAACCTGAAGGACTCTCAGTGGTCCACAAAGGTAAAAGTATAAAATACATAAAAATACATGGAAACATCCACCATTTGAGTAAAGGTAAAGCACAGAATACTAAAAAATATCCAGACATAAAGAACCAATCAGTAATCCTAACCAAGATGACCTCACACCCCAAACACTCTCTGGAAAAGTTCCATTTTGAGCTGCTTCTGGAAAGCAGTCAAAGTGGGAGAATTCAGAACACCATAAATACAAGAGTTTTTAAACGTAGCTCTTAAGAGCTTCAGGCTCGGCCAAGTGTTTTGGGATGTCCAAGCAAAGAGAAGAGCTACAGTTTATCTAAATGTATGAAAGTATGGAGGATTATACTTTAAGGTCAATGTGGAGCAGGTGAAAAGCATGCCCCGTATAAATTCATGACTATAGGATGTGGCAATGATCACCACCGACCAAAGAATAGTCCTTCATCATAAAGCACATCATTAACTTGCAGAATTCATTACCCTGGGATGTGATGAGAACCGCTACCTTGGATGGTTTTCAAAGGGGACAGGATAAATCCAGGAAGGACAGGTCTATTGAGGGCTATTAGTCTCGAAGACTCAGTGTTACCTCTGGGTTGGCAGCATTTATGCCTCCAAGTATCAACTGCATAGAAAAACCGTGGGAGAGAAGCACACTTCCATCTCCTGATTTTGAGGACCCCAGAAGTATCAGATTGGCTGCTGTGAGAAGCAAACAGCAAGACCAACATGAGTCTTGGTCTGCTCCAGCAGATCTGTGATCAGGTCCTTAAGATGGTGATGGCCACTAATTTAGATGGCTTTCACAGGGGATAAATTCATGGAGGACAGGGCTATTACGGATTCTTGGTCTTGAAGACTCCATGTTACTTCCAGGTTGGATGCAACATGCGTCCAAAAACCAGTCACAGGAGAACAATGAGGACAGAAGCCTCCATCTTCGGTTTGCAAGGACCCCATAGACATGCAGTTGGCCACTGTGAGAAACAAAATGCTCTACTAAGATGGTCCGTGGCCTCATCCAACAAGGCCAAGTTAGTTTGAATATATTTAATACATTATTAGATGAACAAAATCTACATGAACTATGACAAGTAACCTTCATTAATTTTAAATAAACATTTATATCCTACCCTTCTAATGCATTTGTGCCAGTCAGGGAACAACCTGCATTCAGAGGATGCTCCTCAGTACCAGATATTGGAAGAAAACAGGAAGATTGCCCATCTCCTCTGTCTGGCCACCAGCTTCATGCCCTGCTTCACTTGGCCCACCAAGAATTGGAGATAAAATGGTGGGACAATGAATCCTTGTTGACAAACATGGTGGCCAACATTCACATCCCAATCCCCATTACCTGAACTTTCACTGTGTTTTGTGGGTCTTGCACGTGTTCCAGAGTGGCATCCACGTCCAATGCAACAACTAATCCTGATGTGAAGCGCAGGGGATTGTCTGATTCTCCGGTTGGTTCAATAATGGTGGCAGTTGCTCGGTGGATCTGGGGAAGGAATGGGGCAAGTCAGCCTATGCTTCTTGGGACAAAACAACTCCTTAACATTCTGTTTTTCAGTCTTGACATGGGGTTGGATTTGGTCTGATCCAATTTGTAGTTGCAGCAAGAGAGGACCTGGGAGAAAAAAATGATCTAGGACGGTCACGTAATCGTGATTTGATACCTTTTTTACTACAGCCATTAAGCAATTCACTGTAGTCGTTAAGTGAATCACATGGTTGTTAAGTGAATTCCAGCAAAAAAGTCCATTGGGAAAGTTGGATTTGCTTAACAACCATGTGACTCGCTTAATGATTGTGGTGATTCACTTAATGACTGTTGTAAAAATGGTCATAAAATTAGGTCCAGTCATGTGGTGACTCACTTAATGACTGCCCCACTTAATGAACAATTTTCGGTATTGTGGTAATTAAGCAAGGACTGGAGAAGGAAATGGCAACCCACTCCAGTATCCTTGCCAAGAAAACCCCATGGACAAT